AAAAAACTCAGCTTAACCTGATTTTCAATAGATGAAAGAATATATTAATGTTTTTGTCTTTCTACTGGTCTTTTTGCCATATATATGATGATGTGAAGACATTAACTTTTCAGGCCCCTGTTAGTAAAATAACTGAACGACTATTGAATATGAAATTTGGAAAACAGTCTACGGCCATGCCACCCTGAACAAGCCCAGTCTTGTGTGAAGCTAAGCAGGGTTGGGCCTGGTTAGTACTTGGATGGGAGACCAACTAGGAATACCAGGTGCTGTAGGCTTAAAAAAAAATTTGGAAAACAGTATGGTATGAGAAAAGGTACACAAATGAATAGACAAGGCTACATCTGAATCTGACAAAAGTGAGGAAATTTGTACACCTAAATGCCTTTCATTTTTTTGTGTGTGTGGTTAGTGGGATGGAAAAAAGTTAAAAAAATGCGGTTTGAACACTTAATGAAATTTGTAATAAAATAAAAAAGAAATTTTAAAACATGTACTACTACACATGTGAGCGATGGCTTACCTGGGGAAAGCTGGTTAGTTGGTTCTCCCTTGAAATTATTTGCCTTCATGGAGAAAAATGTCACGACAAAGGATAAAAACATGGATAAAGGGTAATGAATAAGTTATTCATTGTTCACCTTAGTAATAAAAAATTATGGCTCAAATTAAAATTATGTGTCTTCATGTGGAATGACCTTCTACATATATCAAATGGAAAAGGCAAGATGCAGGACAATGCACAAGTTATACTATCATTCCTATAAAAATATATAAGCTTGATTATGTAGAGTATCTATCTCTGGAATGATACACAGTAACTAGAAATAGTGGTTTGCGCCTATAAGAACAATTTCCTTTACACTACGCTTTTGTAGATTGTACCATGTGAATGTATTACCAACACACATCAAAGAAACTACATATATGTATATAGTTTTAAAAGGATCACAATATTGTCTTTACAAGACTTTTCTTCTCAAGGATAAACATTCTCAAAAACTCTAAGGCAAAGCTGTTCATTTTTAAAAACCACAGCATGATTGCTGCAATTAAGAATTAGAATAGATAAGCTGGCTGTGAGGATGAGCTGTGAAAATTAGTATTATCAAAATAAAAACTTAAATAAACCCATCTTTCTTTACTAAGAGGTCTCCGATGAGTATTCCCCTGAGAGAGTAGGAGACTGACTACTGGATCAGAGACCTTTGAGGTCTGCTACCTCACATAAATTCTGACTGACCTCTTAGTGAGAAGGTCCACTTGTTAAAAATTCTACCAACAGCAACCTAAAAACAAAATTTACCTTTTCTTCCAAGTATCTAGGCTCATTGATAAAAGTCACTCATTGATAAAAGTTACTTAAAAGTGTAGGGGAAAATGTTACTACTTAATGTGTTTGATTCTCAAATTATTTTAAACCTGGGAGAGGAGAAACTAGATGTTAAATTCAGTCTAATTCAGCCCTGATTTCCAAAACGGAAAATAAGATTTAATAGCATCTAACTCATTAACTGAAAAAATTTTACTTTTCCCCCTCCTTTATGGTGTGTTAAAACATTAGCAGTATATTAAAGAATGGAATGCATAATGTGCATGAATTCTGGAATTAAGATGGGAGCGAGGAGGACTCTGATTTGTTATGTAGCTGGGTGGATGGGGAAGCCCAGGAACAGTACTGAGGCGTAGAGAAGAGATGGAGTATCGCAGCTCGGGTCTTTCTCTTCCATCTCACCTGCCAAAAAATGAAAAACCTGGTGCTGTGTTGTCAGAGTACCACCCCGGCACAGGTCCTAACCCAGTGTGACGAGAGGGAGCTACAGCCTGGGTTGGCTCACAACTCTGTCCCCTTTGCCCCCAAGTGAACACACAATTCCTTTCCCTTCCACAATTCCTCCTGAGATGCTCAGAGTGGCCCTAGCTAGTTAAGCCTCAGCTATTTTGCTAGTCTAGGAAAGGGGAAAAAATGGGGCCAGTAAAGTGAGAATGATCTAATAGTAATAAAGTTGTAGGGTGAAACATTTATTTCATTTTTGACATAGCTGAGGTGCCTATAAGATACCCATATGGAAATTTCTAATAGGCATATAGGAGAGGTTGAAAGTCAAATACCGCAGGGAAGACTCTAAAAGTGTCCATTTACTAATATATTGAGATGTTACTAGGGCATAGTAGGAAACATCACCCCCAGAAAGCTACCTTAGTTTCATAATTCATGCAAATTTTACATTCTATTCTTTGACATTTTTATTTTGATAAAAAAATATTTTAAATGACATCTCGTGGAGGAAAAAAACTTACAAACTTTATGAGTCATCTTCTGGGTTCTTAAACTGCAAACAAAATGCAGCTGATTATAGCCCTAACTTATCCATACCGACTCCACTGGCTGTAGAAATTCCACATTTTTGTGATTATCAACAATTTTAAATAAAAAAAATAAGGCACAGATTCCTTGGTTAGCTGAGCAGGTTCCAATGGGAATAGGTCAATATATTTTTTCTAACATTTATCTGTGGAGAACTTTAGTTGCAAAGTGTTATATGTGCAGTTCATAATGCTTTCTTGTAAGTGATGAAAACTACTTTTCTTATTTAAGCATTTTTTTAAATATTAATGAAGCTTCCTTATAAGTAATTTTTGCACTTAGTAGGTATTCAAAAGTGTGCTGAATGAATAATATGTGTATTTGTATTAATGCAGATGAGTTAGAACAGTCAAGTCACCCTATGTCAGGAAAAAAAAATCCACTCATTATGCTAAACCAATAAAAGAAATGGGAAAGTACATGCCATCTACAAACCCAAGAGTAATGTTGGTTTATCCAGCTTCTGGAAAAGTATTCCGAAGTTAGGAAGTCTGGTGTCAGGTCTTAAATACGTACACCACCACCCAGCTGGGACATCTTCCTTAGCTGGAAGTACCTTTGGGCTGCAAGAAGCAGGAAGCAGAAAGGAAGAGGGGAAAGAGATCAAATCCCCTAGGCAGTCTGCTTCATTCGGAGCAGTTCCTGTTTATTTAATAGAGTTTGATTTCATATGAAAATAGGGTTCTTTGCTCAAAAAACCACTAGGTAGACTCTAAGGTCTGGAAAGACTTACAAATTGTATACATTTAACTCAAAATGTCTTTGATATTGGTTAAGTTTTCAATATATTTTTGGCAAGCTAACGTTTCTGGGAAGATTTTTTTTAAAGCACATCTAATTTCCTCACATATCTAAATGGAAATATAAATAGGAAATGTCTCAAAACTTTGCAAATTCAGGATACAAGCTGTACTGAAGAGAAAACAAAGGAATTGAAATAAAACCGATGACACATCTTTTTCAAATGTCACATTTAATGTTTTCACCACTGTACTTCAAATCTACATTGTACAAAGTGACCAGTAAGTGTGCCACGGTAATTGACCAACCTCTGAGATTGTACCTTTCACACCAGTGTCGTCTTGGGCTCTTTTGATACTAAACACGTTTCTCATTCAAGTGAATTGAAATGCTTCAGTTGGGTTGATTCTCAGGAGCCTCATAAAAAAAAAACAAAGATATTGCACCATCTTTGTTTAGTAATTCAATGTTTGTTTCTTTCACAGCAAATAATTACTTCATTGAAGTTAAAACTTCCAAACATAACTTATTAATAGTCTTCAAATTCAGCTCAGATCACTCAAGATGAAAATACTCTGCTAAATACAGATAACTTACAATAACTTTAACAGTTAATTGTCCATAACACACACCAAGGTTTTTTCCTAGACCAATTTTAAGACGATCCATTAGTATTCCTTGTACAGGTGAAAAACGATCTTCAATTTTCTTGTCTTTTTATTTTTAATATAAAAGTTGGAAGGGACATTCAAGTTTCAAGTCTCCACATTGAACTTAAAAAAAAAAAATAGTCATCATCAGCATGTGGAGGTAAACAAGCCAAGTTGTATAACTCCAGGAGGTAGAGGCCTTCAGTTTGTATTCATATATACATATGCACAGAAGAATTCAGTGTTCCAACAGAAAAAAGAATTTGTCAAAAAGTAATAAGTTATTTACTACTGTGACATTTCAAGACTCCCACAGCTTTGCCTAAGGACACAAACACATTTGACATAATTCCCTATGTGCCTTTTTTTTTTTTGTGGCTTTAAAATTTTTTTAAATTTTTTTTTTTGTCTTATTTTATTTATTTTTATTGTTAATTCCCTATGTGCCTTTTTTTTTTTTGTGGCTTTAAAATTTTTTTAAATTTGTTTTTGTCTTTTATTATTTATTTTTATTGTCCAGTGCAGGAAAAGTCTCACAAAATTTCACAGACCTAAAATGTGCAAGCTAGTTCTCTCTATACAGCAATGTTGGGATTCTTTTGAAATTAGCCCAGAAATGAATTATTTACATACATGAAAGATGCATGCTTGGGGTTCTTTTATGTAAGAAAGAGCAGAAAAACTTCTAATAAAAATAGATTAAATATATATATATATATTTATACTGGGTAAGGAAAACAGAAGTTTAGTCTCTCCTAGTCACAAACTCATTCTCTCTACCCACAACATTGGATTTTAGACAGCACACATCACCGTCACGGCTCTAATGAGAAGCTAATTATAGGGCTTGATCATTAGGTGGCATGCCCCTCCCCCCGCCCCCCCAGGTGCAGCCACGATCATCTCACGTGGCTCCATGATTGGTCGCAGGCAGGCAAGGTTTCTAGATTCTTTCGTTTTAGAAAACCCATAATTTTCAGGAATGGCTCAAATATCAAAATGTATGACTGTGTATGTGTGTGTGCGTGCGCACGCGTTTGTGAACAATCTCACTTCATTTTAAAAAAGAAAAAAAAAAAAACAAAAAACACAAAACCCCAAACTCCCAAATTTGGTTCAATTCTCTTTTGTTCTGAGGTGAGCCATAACAGCTGCACTAAATTCATAAAACATGTGCAACTCTGGGTAAAATATTTTTCTTCTAAAAGCACAACCACTTTACAAGATTAAAAGTCTAGTAACATTTCTAAATATTATTCATATCATACAAGTAGTGGTTGTTAATTTAAAACTTCATTAGTAAAATTACAGTACAAGCATGATTAACCTCCAGAATTGCAAATCCCAGACTCCAGTGGAAAGCTACATTACATCTTCAGTAGTACGTTATCTTCCACCGTCACTCCCACACTAGAGGAGAGGGGGGCATCTCAGATGGCTGAGCAACAGTGGAACTAGAAAAAAATGGAGACATGGTGAAATCAGCTGAAACACCGCAAAGGGCAATTCACTGCTGCCTGTTTTCCTTTTTCAAAAAATTATAAAGTCCATTTCTGGATTTTTATTTGTTTCTTAACTTCTTTAAAGTTGCATTTGTTCCAAATTGTTTAAGGATCTATATCTACAGTGACATTTCAAGACTCCCATGGTACAGTGGCTAATACATGGCCTTGAAAACAACATATCATTTATTAGTTGTGTGACATAGAGCAAATTCCTTCATCTTTTGTTTGGAAAGGGATGATGTTATCCACCTCATTGTTGTGGTAAATAAATGAGATAAGGTATACAAAGTGCTTTCCACAGTGCCTACTGCATAATATAAAGTAAATGATAGCTATTATGAATAACAATGTCTATTATCAATCAGGAAAATAACCTTAAGGGATACAGAATTATCCATCTAAAAGTAGCCTCTCAAAACGCACTGACTTTAAGTGGAAATCTATTTTGAATGAGTCTCATAAGCATTCTTTATCAAGTATTAATTGAGTAATAATGGATAATCATTTAGCATTTGTCATCCACAGATTTGTTTTATCAGTTATTTCACATGTCTGTCTAATGTTGCCAACTAGCTTATAAACATGATGGTGTGTGTGCAACCATTTTATTTCCTTGGGGTTCAGGATAACAAGTAATTTGCCCCCGAAAGGGCATTAAAACACCTGACTGACTGGGCCACTGACTCTTAGGGGAAAATATTAAAACGAAGTAATTTTAAATCACAGAGAAGTAAAAGTGCAACACGATTCCTTCTTTCTACTGAAATATGCATGGAAGAAATGAAAGTCCTCCTGATTTAAAAATTCTAAACAAAAAAATCTTGATTTGGGTTCAATAAATTCAATCAACTTCAATATCACAAATTAAAGTCCAATTAATGGAAGTGAG